TTTTTCTATTCTCCAATCCACCATTAAAATGAGTGGATTATCAAAAAGGCAAATTTTGAAATTGTTTGGAAAGATTTAGGTTTCCCAGTATCTACAGAAAACCACCTGGGGAATGAAATAAAATATCAAGGCAGCTAAACAAGGATAGCCCCAGCGCTCTATTCAGATGCTGAATTTTGTTCCTGAATGGCGATTTTCAAAGTCTGTGTTTTTTCCTGCCTTTGATTGTGTATTTCACAGTCAAGCTCCTTTTTTCCAGCTTGCACCCTTCAAGCTCCAGAGAGGGGTAGTGCTAAACAATTTATGAAACCCACAGCCTTTCAATAGGTCTCCAAAATGGGAAATGTAAAACACAGATAAGAACACTGACATTCATAACACATGACCTCAGAGGGCAGCAAGTTGGGCACAAAACTATGGGGCATGCAGGCACAGAAAAATAGCACCTAGATTTGGAGAAGGACCTGTCCTCCTTGCAGCTCTCCGCATATCAGTAGTTGTGGAAGAAAAGAAGACCAGTAAGACTTGGAGGACCACACCAGCAAATGTGTTCAGGAGCTCATGCATACCTTGGAGAAGCAAAAAGGAGCGAAAACAACTGTGTCTGCATTTTCAGCACTTTTCTTTCCTTGAAGTTTCCCAAGAGGAATGTTGCACTCTCAGATGGGAAACTGCATCCAGATTCTACTGGAGTGTCCTGCCTGAAGGGTGCAAAGAATGAGGACTGACACCACTGCAGGTGGAGACGGAGAAGACCAGGACTCCATTTTTGTTCTGGTACAGAATTTACACCAGCTTCCAGCATCACTCTACCAATGAAATGGTGCCCTTGACCTCTCCCCATCCCTCTCCCACTTCTCTAATGACGCAAATCCATTTCCAGTAGTTCCCAAGTATCTTTCTTTCACCAAGATAGCAACTGCTTACTGTACAGAAGTGTCTGTGTACAGTAGGAGCTTCCAGGAAATGCTTAACTAGGAAACAGCTATAAAGACTGAAGTGGTGTTCCAGGAGTAAGACAGAAAAAAAAAAAAACAAAAAAAACAAAAACAACAAGGTCCTGGTGAGTTCTTTCCCTCAATCTCTGTGTCCTGGTGACAACAGATTCTGAAGACTCTTGGCTGCCAGAATCTACTTGCTAAGAAATCACCCTGTGGTCTGGGGGTCATGCAAAAGGTATTCTCTTGCTGATCTATAGGTTCTTCCAGGGGCAAGGAAAGACACTCCTTTGCCAAGATCCTCAGTTGTTTGCTGGCTGAAGAAGTGACAAGCTGAATTTTCACTCTAACAGTGGTGTGTGTGATCCTAGCAGTCTACAGCTCCAACTGTAGACTGCCACAGATGATGAGAGACTCCATGGTCCCCTCTCAGTGAAAAAGATGCCATGAGACACCTGAAACTGTTGGCAGACATGCTGAGCTGCCTCCAGCACTGGCTTTCAGAGGGGTCTTCATTTTAAAATGTAAACAGTGTTTCTTAGCACCTTTTATTGAAGCTGAAGCTGCCACAGGCCCCTCTCTTGGGTGCTTTAAGGGAAGCCTGGGCTCCAGCTGGGACTCCATGTGCCAGGCTCAGAGCATGGTATCACAGCAAGAAGGCACCCAAGTAGGTGCTTATATAAACTATTTTTGAAAAACATATTTTTATTATAGTGTTGCTCTTTGGAGCCTGTGAGGGTTTGAGGAAGGTTGATGTATTGCCTGGGTGGACTTGGGGGATGCTAACAGCCGTCATCTACTCTTCACCTCAAGTTCTACAACTAGAAAACATGGCAGTCACATGGCCACTTTACTCACTGATATATTTAACTTTGGGACACTACAAAACAGAGGAATAGGGGATTACAGGGACATCTGCTCTGTCACTGCTGCTTCTCTATCTCCCTGAACAAACTGCACTTGTACTCGCATTGACCGAAAGGACACCTCCAGGGATAACTCTTGCCAGCTTAAACAGAAGGCCTACAGGCATGGTTTTTAGAAAAAAGCAAGTGTGCTGCAGGAAAATAAATAATTAGAAATACTGCACAATATGGCAAAAATTAAATGAACAATTACTGTGTCACAGAACATGCACATTGAATTCTATTTGATTAACAGTGTTATTTTTCAAAGTAAAGAAAGCTTATAAAGAGCATGCACATGTTTTGAAACTGCTGTAGATGTGTTTAAAACCTCCAACTCTTTTTTTTTTTTTTTTTTTTTTCTGATGTCTCACTAATTACATTTAGGCAAAATGTTGGGGAGATTCCTATTCCTTGTTGGAACTGTTTTCCTTAGGGAAAGTAGAGAGCACAACAGGTCTGGAAATGATGGACTACTTAGCTTCTTTGGGATACCACCTATTTTTATTCTAGGTTAGTGGCTGTTTCTTGAAACATACAATAAAAATATTTATTTTCCTCTGCTTAAGAGTAAGTGGGATGTTTCTGGCCACTCTGAGATTTTGCACTGTTGCACAGAAAGTGATTGTGGAAGACAGAACAGTTGCGTCTAGAATCCTTAAGTGGCTCTGCTCCTCCACTTCTTTACAGCACAACCTTGGCACCTGAACAAGTGGATATAGGGTTTCTGAAGATAACGACAGAAATAACACTACAGGAGACAAAATGATACATGCTCTTTTTCCAAGTATCAATACTGGTTTCTAGCAGGAATTCTGTGCATGGGAAAAGGAAATACATTTTGTTTATTAAAACGAACATTACTTTCACAGAGCATGATAGGCTGAGCAGCTATGGAAATCTACTTTCACTAAAAATTATATCTGAGCAGCAATACTTACACTAATTTTAACAGACCAATTACATTATTACATAGAATGGGCCAAAATACCTCACATACACCTTGGAAATATATACTGCCCTGAATTGACAGACTATTTAAAAACTGTAATTCCCTGTCTCCAGAATCTGTTCAACAAAGTGAACTTTTATCTTTAGTGATTGTTTCAATTTCAGACACATTTTTATCAGTCTCAGACCTGCTATAGCAAAATTGTGTAACTGGATTACACTACAGCTGCATTCTTTCTGTGCACCCCTAGAAATCAGATGGGAAACACTGTCGTTTCAGTAAATTGTTTTCCCCCACAGAAACCTCTCCTGCTGAAGGGGCACCTATCATTGCAACCTGCTATGCCTTTGCTCCTCCTCATCACAGACCAATCACAGAATCCCAGAATGACCTGGGTAGGAAGGGACCTTACAGACCATCTCAATCCACCCCCCTGCCATGGGCAGGGACACCTTTCACTAGACCAGGTTGCTCCAAGCCGTGTCCAACCTGGCCTTGGACACTTCCAGGCATGGGGCAGCCACAGCTTCTCTGGGCAACCTGTGCCAGTGTTTTACCACCCGCAGAGACAAGAATTTTCCCCAACATCTAATCTTAATCTCCCATCTTTTAGTTTTCAGCATCCTACCAAATCATCACTATTCAGACTAACTCCTATAGGTATCAAAAAATCAAGAGATTCCTCACCAACAGGACAAATCAAATTGTAATAAATCAGGAGCTCCCGATTTATTACAGACAAGCTAAATATCTCTGTGCAAGGCAGTTCAAAACAAAAAGATTGAGCCAGCTAATTAGCACATGTGTCTTCAGCTGAGCTCCAGCAGACAGTAACTTAAGCACAGTTTTACTGCACTTCCCTTCTTCAATTTGTCTCAGCACACTGGTTAGAAGGGCCTGATTTACACAGTCAGAAAGCAGTCTTCAGCTCTTTTGGCCAATTCTATGGTACTGGATATCAATTTTCCTTCTCTGATTGCACCTGTAAGCCTGGGCTCATCCAAGTTGACTTTACTGACACAGGGCTCATGACCTCTGTCGTCATGACCACCATGCTGCTGTGTTTAGCAGGGGAACTCGGAACTCCAAGATGGGAAATATTTTTTTAATTTATTTTATTAAAATTGTAGTTGAGTTCATCTTTAAAAAGAGCCAATTTTCCACATGACTTTTAATTTTAAAATGGTTTTTTATAGCATTAACCAAGATTTGGGAGCTATTTTCATATATTGAGAGGAACAGAGAAAGCTATTAGCTAAAACACTTTTTACTATTGAGACAAGAATTACAATAACATGAAAGTATGTCAGAAAGCATATACAAATACTACTGGAAAGAGAAGATAATATTTAGAAAAGGTGGGTTTTTTTCCAAATTTGATCTTATTGTTTTGACTACATTAGAGCACTATGAACTCATATTATTTAGAATCATTCAATTTGCTGTTGCTGGGGACCTTTCTCACTGCAACTGTGAAGTACATAAAAGTACTGCAATTTCAGTTAAGATAAGAAGATAAGAAGGACATGAATCTGGTAATGGGACTGGAGCACCTCCCATATGGAGACAGGATGAGAAAGCAGTGGCTGTTTAGCCTGGAGAAGAGAAGGTTGTGCGGAGACCTCCCAGCGCCTTGCAGTGTCTGAAGGGGCTACAGGGAAGCTGGAGAGGGACTATGCATCAGGAACTGTAGTGACAGGACAAGGAGGAATGGTTTTTAGCTAAAAGAGAGGAAATTTACATTAGATAGCAGAGGAAATCCTTGGCTGTGAGGGCAGTGAGGCCCTGGCAGAGGTTGCCCAGACACACTGTGGCTGCCCCATGCCTGGAAGCGTTCAAGGCCAGGCTGGACGTGGCTTGAAGCAACCTGGTCTAGTGGAAGGTGTCCCTGCCCATGGCAGGGGGTGGAAATGGATGAGCTTTAAGATTCCTTCCAGCCCAAGCCATTTGATTTTTGATATTTGATTTGATAAATAAGTTATAAACCTGTCATGCATCAGGACAGCTGCAAAACTTTACTTTTGAACCATTTCAAATTTAATTTCTGCCTGATTGTCAGAACTTCTATCAATGAAAGCACTGTAGTTAGTGCTATCTCAAAATACTTTAAAAAACCTTGCAGAACATGCAGATCAGTGGTACTATCACACAGTTTCCTCTGTCTTCAGAAAATGCCGCTCACTAGAATTGCAGAAACAATGAAATAAAAATTGCTAAAATAAAAAGGCACCTTTACAGAATATATTTGAGGCACAGCTTTACTAGGAAATCCAATGCTATGTAAAAAGCAATTCACATTTTATTTTAAATTTCCATAAACTGTACAAAAATGTTTCATTCTCACCAAAAATAACAGCAATATTTCCAATCTTACTTCTAGACAAACAACAAACTCTTATTTTAATCTTTCCAGAATGAGTTTACAAATAAACATACTATAAGATGGATGGTGTTTGCATCAGAGTTGGGGCAGAGCAAACAGATTTAAACGTTTGTGGAATAAATTTTAAGTTTTTATTGTCTTTTAAGAACTTAAATACTCCTGCCATGCCTGTTAAGCCTAAAGAAAAAACTTTTGTGTCTGACACAAAGGAATGTAAACAGTCATCAAGAGATTAAAGAGGTTGACTCTTCCAACAAAACCATAAACGTACCCCTATATCACTGACATTCACTTTACACCGAGACCTGTCCACAGCATGGGGATCGTGCAATAGCTGAATCCACTCTCCAAAATGCCACTTAAATATACATCAAAGACTTCTTCTTAAAAGTTTGGGTTTTTTAAAAAAATCCTAAGTAACAGAACTGAAATAGATTATACTCTTTTTAATAGTCTGAATTTCTTTCTTATCCTAATTAATCAATGAATATGTAACAGCCCCATCAGATCTACAATCATAATGTACTTTTTTCACGACGCAATAAAGTAAACGAGCACCTAGTTAAGCCAATCAGATGTAGAAAGCACCTCTGCCAAGGGCATGGGCTTGTGTCAGGCTTGATTTTGTTTGCCAAACACATTTAGTATGGACTAATAACACATAATTTAGGTCTTTGACAACAGCTTGTTCAGTCCAAGGCCTAAAATGAAAACACAATTGCAGTGATTTTTTAAGATTTCACCAGTTTTTCTCCCCAGCTTTGAAACTTAATTAAGAAGAAGCTGTTTCAATAGATTGGTTAGAGCTTAAAACGTTAGGCATCATCTGTTACTTCAGAATTGTTTGAAGGAGTACAGTCTTGAAATTCCACTTTATCTGGATAGAGTTTAATGTAAGTGTCCACCATCAAATCTAAGTCATGTTTTATGTCAAGGTTTATGTTCAGCAAAGCAAGGTTGCTTGACCTTTGCCCTGTCAAGGTGTTTTTCAGGTATGCCTTTAAGCGCTTTCGTCCTATTCCGTATTTCTCATTCTCCACCTTCATCACTGGAAGTAAGCACAAGACTTTAAGCAATGCATAAACATTAGGGAAAAACTTTATGTCAGGCAAGTGAAGTGCTTCATAAATAGTAGCTGGAAGTTCAATATCTTTTCCTCTGTGCTTCCACTTGATTCTCCAACAGTGAAGCTCAGCAGAAAGTGTGTCTGGATTGGGCAAGTCATTTTTGAACATGTCAGCATGATGCTCCTCAGACGTATTGAATTTGAGCTGTCCCATGACTGAGGGCACTAATGATAAACATTTAAGAGCTTTTAAATGTTGTTCTGAGAAAATATCTTTTAATTCTTGAATAATGTGCTCTATTGTTGGGACACTTAGGATTTCTTTGTAGTAATTTTCTGATGTCATATCAGGGTCGAAGTTCCCCTGTTGTGCCCTGAGAAATTTTCCTGGGAGTTTAATTTGTACATCCAGTTTTGTAGCCAAATTTGTGGCTTCCTCAAACCAAAATTCATGGTAAACTTCAATATTCTCCATCACTTCATTCAGAGAGTGCAATACTGCTGTTAAGCTGCCAGCTGCAAAGAACACATCTGATGTTTGTCCCTGGAGATTTTTTCCAAATGCTCTTGTAAAAGACAGAACATTTTTCATAATTACAATAGTGACAATGAAATCAAAATCTGTTAGTGCACTTGAAAGTACAAATGCTCGACCAACAATGAAGTTGTTCCACCTGACAGAAAAGTCACTGCTCACAGCATCCAAGCACAGTACCAGCGCTTGCAGGAGGTCCACTAATACCTCAAAAGTATCATGCCTGCCTGTCCAGTGAGAACGGCAGATCTTCTTTAACTCATTACCCTTTTCATCATTGTCCTGAAAAAGAGCAGAAATTGTGTTGTCCAGTTCTACTAGTAATTGTGGAGACTGGTTAAAAAGACAGCAAACTTCTTCAATTGTTCCTAATGCAATGGAAACACCAACAACAGGAACAGACTTTGCCAGCCAAACATTTAAGGCACATGAGGAACACAGCGTATATACAGCTTGTGGATACTTTTCCAAGAGTCTTGTAGCCACAACTTTCATTTTAGAAGCAAATCCACTGGAGACAATGTAGGCTTGACCCCGACAGTACTCCATGTTTAGACCCCACTTTTCAGTAATAGTTGTGTGGAACTTAACAGCTAAAATTTCAGGATCAGCCTCATATGGTAAAAACCCTATGAATTCTTCTCTTAGATTGTGAGAATCATCAACGAACCTCACCAGCACTGGCAAATGTTCCTCTCCTGCTATGTCTACTACTTCATCGGTGACAATAGAAAAGAAGTGCGAGTCTCTTACTTCCCTCAGTGTCTCCTCTCTAACACAGTTTTCACAGATCTCAAGCATTTGTTTCTGCTGAGTTTTTGAACAATACTCAAGGTTGACTGCAGTCATCTCAAATCGTTTCCTCAGAACTTCATCGCCACCATTTATTCTATATTCCAGTAGAGCCTGAAAGTTATCTGAAGTAAAAATACCTTCTGGAAGTTCATCAACATTATGGCCATCCAATGGAATATTCTGTTTACCCATTAAGATCAAAATTTCAAATAATGATTTCAGGTAATCTTTGTTTTCTCTTTCTTCCAGTGTTAAGGGAACAGCTTTTTCCTCTTGTTCTTCCCCTCCTTCCTCTGAGACAGTATTTTGCTCATTGTTTTCATTTGATTCTGGAGTTGCCTGTTTCCGTTCAAAAGCATCATCAACTACAAAATGAAAACACTGTGAGTGTCAAAAATAAAATATAACTTGTCCATTACCTTTAAGTTACCAGAGTCCAGAGAAGAATGTTTCCAGTTTAAAAGGAAATTAGTATTTTGGAAACAATTTAGACTGGCTGGCTGAATCAAGAAGGAACTCAATTATCCTCCTGCTATATATAAACTAATAGTTTGAGTCCTGCATTACCTCATCAGCCTTAGCAAATAAAGTTATTATCTCAATTATTTTGATCACTTACTCTTTTGCTGCTTCAATGTTCTTATTTCATCTTCACTCTTAAAAAAACAAACAAAAAGAATTTATATAGTTGATAATGTCTAACGTGTGACCTTAAAATATTGTTGACAGTGTCTAACACGTGACCTTAAAATATTAACATCTCAAGATCAGATACAAATACTAGATGAGACCAGTTAACATTTGCCAAAAAGTGCTAGAAATTCTAACACGAGGAGGTTTCTTGAGGTAGTTTATTACAGCCATGACATGTATCTACTAACTACATGAGAACAGCTGTATTAGGAGATTCTTCAATATGTATAATTATTAGTAAATAGATTCTATTGCAATTTGGAAACGTGCTGCCAGTAGACAGAAGTATCTTTAACTCCATTTTCAGTCAACAGATGCAACCAAACTCACAAAGAAGTATTTAGAAATTGTCTGCAATTTTTCAAGTATAAACAGAGATTAGGAGTGGAATTCCTCTTAATTGTCAGTATACTTATAACCATGGAGACACTTTCTCCCCTAAATGACACACAAGACACAATCCCACAAAAAAAAATCCTCAATCTTGGTTTTATCCATGGATCATTTTTTCACAACAATAAGCTATAACATGCATGTCTGAATTGATTCAGATTTCAGAAGTTAAATGGGCGAACCAAAGACCACAATCAACATGCAGCAGGAATTTTGGGGTATCAAGCTTCAGTTGTGTTCAGGTGGCACTGTAGTAACAAGGAAAAGAAAATTATACAATTGATTTGGATGAAAGTATCAGCTCTGGACCAACACATTTAATTTTCCAGATTATTTCTTCAAGATTTCCTTAGATAAAATTTTTATCATGCATTTAAGTTACAATCAACAAAAAAGATGCAGGAATAGGCAGCACAGAAAATACAAACACTCAAGTGGCTAAATATTTTTATTTTACATTTTTGCATAAAAATTTCACATTAACTTACTTGTCATCTTTTCTTTTAATAATAAACCAATAATTTTACATTAAAAACTTACCAGCTCTTTTATCCTTTTCCTATGTCTGCTGTGGGGATTGTTCAGGTGACTTGTAAGATCAAATATAGTTGGCACAGCATTATCCCGTAAAACCGTTCTGTATGGGCTCTGTAAAGAAACAAACATCTCAACTAGGGAATTCTTTCAGACATTTCAGACACTGCCCTTTTTTTTTCTCTCCTTCTTTTCTTGTTTATGTTATTATTCTAAAGCACTTTGACTTTTTGATGGTACCAAAGAGAAAGGTAAGCGATGCAATTTACATTTCAGGGATATCAAGAGAACACTGAAAATAGGAAGACAAATATTACAGAAAACTCCAATCCAAACTACAAATCCTCTTTTTTGTCCCCATTATCTTTATATCAAAGACCCTGGATGCAATAATTTTAATTTACTGCAATATTATGATTTTGTAAAAAAACAAACATTCTGGATAAAAAGACAGTTATGCATCAGAAAGAAAACATTTTGTTACTATTGTGTTTTGGGTTTAATCACTTATTTCATAATTCTAGAAACATTTCATTGTGAAAATGTTCAATTGCTTCTTTTTGTAGAACTATGAAGTCCACCAAGCACTACTGTGTAAGATCATATTGAGGGAAAATTTATCTGTGAATAAAAAAAAAACAAGAAAAGACTTCTAGATGATTATGTAAGTGCTCCCAGTTAAAAAAATATTTGAAGTAAAATGTTATATTTGGGTATACTGTAAACCTGTGTTGCCTATACTGGCTAATTTCTACTAAGTACAAAATTGTAACTGATGTCATCTTGTCATTAGATAGAAATACATTTCAAACAAACCCAGTTTCATAGTGTTTCCTTTCAGAGTCATAATTGCTTCCAATTTTCATATGTTTCAGGGACGCTGGCTAATTAGAGACCTCATCATGTGTAATACCACTAGAACTTCAGAGTTTGACCTGCGTATTTTAATTATCCTTCATAACTAAAAGATCCATTTTGGTTATGTAGCATAGTGAAATTCAGCCTAGAAATTAAAACTTGATACAGTCCCAAGTCTACCCTTTCCTACTCTTAAGCAAGCTGTTAAAATAATATTGTTGACAAAAAGAACTGAAAGCTATTACTTCATTAACAGAAAACAGTGCCTTGACTTTAGCTGGATGAAAATGTAACAGGAAATTATAGCTTGTCAGATGTGAAGAGTGTTTAAATCTTGTGGCCACAACAGAGTGTAATTTAACCAAATGACACCATGTACACACTTCAGGAACAGGACATTAATAAGTTTAAATAATTAGAGATATGCAAAATTACACCCAATAAACTTATATAGTATTGTAATCTCTAGTGAAACAAGTGAAACGAGGAAAGCACTGCAGTGAAGGACAGTGTTCAACAAGTACATTGAACTCCAGGAGCACCACTTTTTCTCTCTCCTCTGACTGTTCATCTTCATTATCATTTTCAATGGCTGAGAGCCTGTGTGGAGCCCCAGACAATGGCAGTGATCCCAATTAAGACTAAGAAATTAATTTTCCTAGGGACAAGTTACCCAGGAGCTGAAAGATTAAAAGGCAGCATTCTGGTGAAAAATGTCAGTCACATTTTGCAAGGTGCAGTAAATAAATGCTTGTTTTTACTTACACTTCTGCATATCATAGAAGTCTCAAAGTGTTTAGCACACAATCTGTAATGCTTGTTGAGTTGATCTGGAGTCTTATCTTCTAAATCTGCCCTTCGACAGTTCTCTACCCATCTCTGACATCTGCACGTAAGGAGAAGAATTAGATAATCTTAGGATAAAACAAAATCCCTTACAATTTCAAACCATACTCAAAACTGGAGCCCAAGTGAGTGCGAGTGACCTTGATACAAGGCTCAGGAAAGTTCCTTACAAAACAAAATCCCTTACAATTTCAAACCATACTCAAAACTGGAGCCCGAGTGCGAGTGACCTTGATACATGGCTCGGGAAAGTTCCTTACACCTTCCTTTGGAACACCCCATCAAATTTTGGTAAAAACTACTTTTTCTGCTTTTGCTCACCACTCAACATCACCCCATCAAATTCAGGAGTCTTTTCCCTTAATGTATATATTCTTGCCTTTGTCACGCACACACAGAGAGCAGATTGTAGCGCAGTTGCTCGTGAAATGTTAACTACTTAATTCTAAAGAATTTGCTTTTAAAAAGAAAAATTAAAAACCAAAGAGATGTGCTTGTAGTCTAAAGTCGTAACGTTTTCTAGGCAGGTTTTAAGATAGCTGTCTTTTCCACCTCCCTTCAAAATATAGTATTCTTCTTATTTATTGTGGTCACTGGGGGAGTTTCGAGTAGATTTATGAAAGTGAAATAATAACAATAGAAAAGCAACCATTCCACAGACAGTGCTTTCACACTCAAAGAAAGTTCTCCTTGGATTTGTATTTTTACATGTATTTACTTTTGCTTTGGATTAGTTCTCCAAGACATACCACAAAGATAAAGAAGTATTTCCTTTACTGACAGGACTCCTAACCTTTAGGTATGCAAGACATTGTCTCTTCTGGTGAGTAAACCACTTGCAGTAATTGATGCAAATGCAGTAGTCAGCTTCAGCTTTCCCTAACTGGGTATACACCATCACTCTCTGAGCAACAAAGTTACTTGTTCTGTTGCTAGAAGTTAGAAGAAAGCAATTTCACTATCACTTTTGACTGCAAACATGAAATTATTGTTTCTAGCAGTAAGGAGGGAGAAAAACAACTCGTGATTACTGAACAATATAAGAACAAAGGCTGTCTTGTCAGATGTTTTGGTGGGCAGCCCAGATGAGGAAATCACAGGTCTGACTGGATTCACCTCTACTTTAGCTCAGTGAAGGGCAATTGTGCAAATGAAAGAGGGGAATCTTTGATTCCGATCTCTGCTGGCTGAACCATTTGCAAATCTCAATTTTTTGCTCATGCAAAATATTAAAGTAACAGTGACTGCAAATGCCATAAATCAAAACCATTTCTAATAGTGCTCTTGGAGATCCATACAGAGTATGCTTAGTAACAACTTAAAAAAGGAAAGAAAACAGTGTTTTAAAAAATCTGATTTTTTGGCACAACAGACTTTGCACTCTTGTCTTGGCAGTGCAATCACCCCAAAAAGAGAACAGGGCAGCTTTCTTCACTTAATCAAATGATATAAACACTCTTCTAAAGTGGGAGACCTGTAGTGTGTAAATTATATTGACTCTGGCTCTCAGACTTTCCCAGTAGGTGTCGACTATTAAACAACTCATTAAATGTGTTCACAGAGACTGATCAGCCTCCTCTACAGTTAGTGGGGAGGGTTTCAGTCCAGAGAAAGAGCGTGACCCCATGGTCTTACCTGCTTCTCTCAGTGCTTCAGGTAAGCTGACAAACATTGAGAGGGAGCAAAGCCAGAGCTCCTTACATTATGTTAACTCCCCTGAATCACCTCCTGGCAATCACAGGAGGCAGGAAATGTGATTTGAGGCAAACCGGTGGCAGGAATGATACATTCAGAACGGGCACACAGTTGGCAAGGGCAGGCAAACATCAGCCTGAATTCTTTGCCCTCCCATGTTAATGCCAACCAAAGAACCTAAGCAGGTACTTAGTAAGTACTAAGCAGTACTTAGTATTAGTCAAGGATCAGACCAATGAGTGACAGCAAGAGATACCACCAGCTCTTCAGAGGGGGCTTACTCAAAAATGAGTCTCACACAGATTTCATTAACCACCCAATACTCCTTTCCTGATGCCTTAAGTTTTAACTTTCATATTATCCAGATTCTGTACTGCATTAGTATGTAACTCTGAACTTCCTATGAAGCTCTCCTCACAGTTTAATTAGACACACAATCCTTTTCCAGCCCGAGAAGGACACTTTTGCAGCTTCAGGCCCAAAAAGTATAAACAACAGCAAACTGAGGAGAGCAATCTGGAGGATGGGACTTCATAACCTGAAGCTGTAATTGGATAATTAACCTAATATGCAAATGCGCCAAAACTTACAAAAGTGTGAAAACATGTGACCTGTTGTCCAACATGGGTGTAGTCTCGGCCAGGCTCTTGTACTGCCAAAGGTGTATTCTTTGAAGGCCTTTTTAATAAATACCTGCTTTATTCCTTTAACATTGTCTAGCCTCTGTTCTAGGTGGCCTCTCAAGGCATCATCCCCTTACAAAGTTCTTCAGCAGTTGCACAAAAACTGGCTGTGGCTGCTGCCTTTTGTGCTGAAGTAAACACTGCCTGTGATGCCCAATGATTTTTGCCTGTTTTCTTTTATACATTCCCTGTATTCTTACACATATATTTGTAACTTTGTAGCCTATTGTTCTATTTGTGGCTAGTTTTCCCAGTACTTTACCCTACCTTTTCCCTAGGCAGAAAAAAACTTGCCTGTTTTCTTTTATACATTCCCTGTATTCTTACACATATATTTGTAACTTTGTAGCCTATTGTTCTGTTTGTGGCTACTTTACCTTACCTTTTCCCTAGGCAGAAAAAAAAAACGACATTCCAAGGCCCTCTATCCTGTCTTGGCTCTGTCTGGGAACCAAGGCCAAAAAAACAGCTCTTCAAGACACATTTTCATAAACAACATTTAGTTCTCATCTAAGGAAGGTGGGGGGACGACATGGGCAGGATTCAGAGAAGATTGGACTAAGGAAAATGGCATCACCTCTTATGTTTCTAACTGGTGATTTTTTTCAGTTATGCTGATTTGCTAAACTTTTAAAACTGTATTCACCCAATGGGGGGTGGGCATTTCGTGGGTATTTTTCCACATCTGTCCCTGGAGGCCTCCAATGAAGACCAGCCTTTGTGTTGCCTCCTATACTAATACTATCTCTGGGGTATGTTGTTTTATTTCTAGGTTCTTTAAGGCGTCACCTGAGCACCTGATCCAAAAGAATCACCTGAACTACATAATCCTAGAGTGGTTTGGGTTAGAAAGGACCTTACAGCCCATCTTGTTCCACCTTCCATTAGACCTGGCTGCTCCAAGTCCCATCCAGCCTGGCCTTGAACACTCTCAGGGATGGAACAGCCACAGCTTGTCTGGGCAATTTGTGCCAGGGCCTCACCACCCTCACAGGGAGGAATTTCTTCCCAATACCTAATCTAAATTTCCCCCCTTTCATATTGTGGATCAGATATGGGCACCAAGCTTCTCAACCCACTGGAGCAGCATGTCAGCAACCAGAGTTCTAGAAATTTAGGAAGCTCTAATGGCAAAGGCTGAAATGTTGACATTCTCTCAGGTAGCTACAGGACTAAAAGGAGATGACAGGTTATATGACTGAACTCAAACCTGAAAACTCCATCTGAGTTTTTATTCAGCCCTTCAGTCTCACTGTGAGTTTGGTTCCAAATAGAACACTCTCTGAGGAATGGAATAACAAAGAAAAAGGAAGTCAGATGCCTGAGATCACCCACTATAGCTCTACAGTAATCAAAGCGACCCCCAAGCAGGGAGAAATTATGAGGAGGACTCCATTGATATCAGAAGGCTAATTAATTACTTTATTATACTATATTATTCTATACTGTATTATATTACATCTAAACTGAATCTGCCAAGCTCTCAACTGCACTCAACTCGTGACTGTCTGCCGACAGTCCCAACACACACACTCGGCCCTGATAAGCCAAGGAAACAAAACACCATCACTTTGGGTAAACAATCTCCATATTGCATTCTATTTTGGCACAACACAGGCACAGCAAATGAGATAAGAATTGTTTTTCCTTTCTCTGAGGTTTAGAGAATGTGAATCCCAGAATATCCTTGGGAATTTGTGCCTTGCTTTTCTCTGTGAAGAGAAATGTGGCTACGTTGCTCTGCATGGTATTATCCAAGAAGCAACTAGAAAGATCTTAGAATAAAATTTGTATTAACTTTTATCAAATCTTTCAGTATTCAACTAATGCATACCATATACTGTTACACAAGTCCTTCGTTGCAATATATTTGGCACAAATTAAAAGCCATCTCAATGCAATATATTACACCACTGCTGTTGAGGAGTACACCTAATGCAAGCAGCTTTAGTGTTTGCAGGCTATGAAGTGGTACTGACCTCGTGCCTAACAAAGTCCTGGAAGTCCTGTGCCACTGGCTGGCTAGGGGTCGCTGGTCCTGCCTTGGGTCACCACAACCCTCCCCAGAGGTACAGGCTTAGGGCAGAGCGGCTGGAAAGTTGCCTGTTAGAAAGGCCCTGGGGGTGCTGGTCCACAGTGGCTGAGTATGAGCCCAGATGTGCCCAGGGGAGCAAGAAGGCAAAGGGCATCTGGCCTGTACCAGCAATGGTGTGGCCACAGGCCCAGCACAGTAACTGCCTCTCTGTGCTGGGCACTAGTGAGGCACTTCCAATCCTGGGGTCAGTTTTGGGGTCCTTGCAATCTTGATGTAGGTGCTCGAGTGTGCCCAGAGAAGGGAATGGAGCTGGGGAAGGGTCTGGAGTACCAGGAGCAGCTAAGGGAGCTGCAGTGGCTCAGCCTGGAAAAAAGGAGGCTCATGAGGGACCTTTTCGCTCCCCACAACTCCCTAACAGGAGGGTGCAGCCAGGTGAGGGTCAGGCTCTGCTCCCAGAGAATAAGGGACAGGACAAAAGGAAACAGCCTCAAGTTGTGTCAGAGGAGGTTTAGGTTGGCTAAATTTCCTCAATGAAAGGTGGTGAGGTACTGGAACAGGCTGCTCACAGAAGTGGTGGAATCACCATACCTGGTAGTCATCAAAAGGCATATGGATGTGGCACTAGAG